TATAGGGCTGAAACTTTCAGAGCAAGTTAAGCAATCAAAGATGTACCGGTGGTATAAATATGAGACCTAGTGAACAATCTATAAGATAGAAATAAAAAAAAAATACTATTTTTCCTTACTTTTTGGACACTTGATATATATTGACTTAATTTTAAACGGATACCTTTGTTATATCTTCATATGATTCGAACCGAACAAAAAACATTGGTAGACTATTTGGTATAATGTGCACTATATTAGTACTTAACCGACAATGAATGACTTAAACTCTTCTTCATCTAAAAATAGAATAAATAATAAATATTTTGAAAACATAGTCAATGTATAACTTGTTTCTATACAAACATTTAATCATTTGAAACAAATCTCTAAGATTCATTTTGAGATTGTCTAATTGATCATTTTATATTTTCATATATTTGATATTAAAAAATGACTCTGAGAACATCCAATCGTTAAAAAAAGACGTTTTAGAAATATAAATCTCTGAATAGATTATCGTATTTTTATTAATTTGATATAATCTTTGTAGCAGCATAATTTGCTTTCAATGAAATAATGCAGATGAAAGAGAAAATCTAATCTCGACGTATATGTATATATTCGTATTGACAAAACTAAACAGTATGATTAGGAACTATTTATACTGAGAATGATTTTTACGAAGATCAAATATAAAATTGTGAATCTGTACCATCGAATTTAAATCTGAATTTTTGTCTATTTATATTTATATTAATTATTAAGGATCGAAGAAAGCAAATTCAATTGTTTTTTCTCAGTTATTATAATAAAATATTGTTAAAAACAATTCTTATATTGACTTAAGGCAATATATATATATATATCGTGTTTAGAAATCATTGCTGATTTAATTTATTTGGTCAAAACTATAAATAAAATAGTGCCTATTGTAATGATTAACAAGTCAGATTAAAGAATTGCAGAATTAGATTTTATTTAAATTTTTTACATAATAGATTAATGTAAATTCAAAGTTTGTATAAAAGAATCACACAGAAAACAAAAAAAAAAGCTTTTCAACTGTCACCAGAATTCATCATGCTTTCACAAAGAGATTGAATTAGTTGACGAAATGAATTCTCAACCGTCTGATCATTTTGTTTTTGTTGTTCTAAAGCTTGTTTATCAAGTTCTCTAGCATCTTGCAGACCGCAGAAATATTCAGTACAGTTTGATGAGAGAAGTTCTGTATTGGTGTCATTTTGAATGTAAGATATAAATTGTGCCCGCTTTTGAAGAGCTTGACCATATGATCCATTCGATTGAAGATCACTGATCAGCTGTCGAGATTGATTAAGAAATGATTGAGCTACTGTCTCATTCTCACAGAAATCAAATTTCCAGGAATGTTCATTATTATCACCAGATGAATGAGACCAATCAATAACCAGTTGAAACAAAAATCCTCGACCACCAGATCTTCGATGAGAACCGCCATAAGCCGAAACAAGAGCCAAAAATAACTATAAAAAGAAAATGAAGTAAAGATAGGTATCATATTCAATTTAAAAAAACAAACTTACTAGAGCGATGTAGACAAGAAGTTTCATCATATTCGTGTGTTTTGCTTGTATTTAACGACAACACATTTTTCGTCTATATTTATATATGAATCGATGCTAAAGCACAAGTGAAAATAGCCCAAGGAAAAAGAAAAAAAGTACGTCTTTTTAAATATATAATTATAATGTAGATCTAAAGTAAAAATAAGCTTGAGTGGTACCTTTTTTTTATTGATCTTATTATTCATTTGCATGTTTATGCCAGTGCATAACCAGGTCTGTCATAGAAAAATAGAGTATACGCAATACCGGTTATACAGTGGCATATGACAAAAATAAACGAATTTACGTTTTTATATTAAAAAATTGACGTAGATGAATTATTTAGTTTATACGCAAAAGAAAAGTACAGATATGACATTGCATTCAATGGACTGGATAATATAGGTACGTTCTTTATAATAAGAATAAATTTCAATTTTTCTTCCAGGTAAAAGTCGATTTATGTTGTTAACTAAAAAAAACACACTCATTTGACTTTATCAAGTAAACACTCAATCTATAACTGATCATACTTTCCTAAAATATTACATCGATTTAATATCCAGGGTGAATAATGTACAGTCGATTCTATCGGAAAGATTTCGGAAAATGATAGGACTTCAGAAACAGGAGTACTATGTCCAGTATCAGTTACTGACTGGAAATGTACATCGACAAGCAGAGCCGGTCGGTGGAAACGATCATTGGAATATTATTTGCAAATGGAACACCGAAATCATCGATCTATGATATTATGTCATTCATCAAATAGATCTTTCCTATCAATAATCATCGTGACAATCTGTAATTATTTTAAAGGAGATCTATAGAAGAAGTTCAAACAAGCTATTAGACTTGACTATCGTGGACTAGAAGATATTAGATAGGCTGCTGTCTGCTTGTCATTTTTTCAAATTTTCGAAAAAAAAATCTTCATTTTTTGATTAGGAAATGTAATTATCAAGAATTTGATTAGATTATTTTCGGTGCTGCAAAGTGATGAATGATTTTTTTGTTTCAATTATTTTTCATGGACACAATTACGACAAATCAGTATTTGTTTCGTAGCTTTCCAGAGACAAGCTAGATTGGAATAAAAATTTGGATTTATAGACTTTCGATGATGTTCTTTCTTTTACAATCAAGAAATACAGTAGTCAACATTTTCAAGAATATGATCATGTTTGATATTCTCATAAGTCGTCTCCTAAAAGCACGTATATGAATAGGTTACAATCCGGTTCTATCCTTAATCATTATTTCGTTTGATTCTACTAATGAATTCTAAGAGACATGTAAATATTTTATAGCAAATAAAACTTCATGATTATGATATCTATCAAAAGTTATGTTTTACTTCCAGCAGATTTATAATTATCTAATATATGTCTGTTTCTTCCAAAATAATATCTTTCATAATCACATTCTTTATCAGTATCCTCTTTATGTTTTTCAGTTAAATTGTCAAATAAAAGTAGAATTTGTATCGAAACCCGATGTTTTTATTCTCACAAATAGCCAATCAGAAAAAGAAAGGCATGTGTCCTTATTATGACATTGCTTCTGTGTTGCCATTGAGAAAAATTTCGAGAAGAAAACAACTATAAAAATCGATAAGAAAAAGTTGTAACATTCCAGGCATTCGAATTAATTCGTTACAAAACACAACAATGATTAGCGAAATTGAGCTGGTATACTTGATTCTATGTATGCTTGTTTCGCAGTACCACTGAAACAAAGTTTACAAATTGTTGAAGCTATTAACTCTCCGCCAAGTTTCTTTTGTGTATTAGATGATATGATAAAACAAGAATTATAGTTTCACAAGCATAACTAGCATTTGAATATAGATGTCCTATTGGGCATCTATTTTCAAATGCTGGTTCTGCTCGTCAAGCATGTCATTAGGAACAGCAAATCCATTCTTAGGCCAAACAAATTGTTTTCCATGTGTTACTAATAGATTACACCACGTCTTTAAAATTCAACTTGTGTAGTGTGTTTATATAGTGACATTATTGTAGTAATTCAGTCGTACAATCAAAAGAATGTCCACTAGGTAAATATAACTCTATTAATTAAAACATATCTCTAATTATTTCTTTTCCCATAGGAACATTCAATGATATTCGACAAACAACATGACTAGACTATGCATCTTGTTATTATAACACTCGTAATGGTTTATCATAATGTATAACATGCTCACTAGGACATTAATGTGTTGGTGCTCGTGTAGCTTCTGTTACTTGTCCGGTAGGAACAGAAGCTCAATAACATTGTCAAATAGTTTGTTGAATTTGGCCAGTTAGTAACCAATATAGTAATCTAGTTTAGTTCTCCAGTCAAATGAGCAGCAAATCAATAGAGTAAAATTGGTAAACTTTCATGTACAATATGTACTGTTGATAATTAGAACAATGTTAACTGATTCAACTTATTGCGATATTAATGAAGCGAATAAATAGAATATTTTTTTCGATATTATTTGCTGAATATAATATTAAAGTTGAATAGTGTGCTATCAAAAATTCAACTGATTAGAAAAATAAATATATAATAATAGATCCTTGTGTTTTTCTTATCATTTCTATGAAAAATTTCTTATCAATTTAGAATAAATAATAAGATTTTTTTTTGAAATTCATCAATAAGACAAAATAATTTTTTTTTTTTTACAAACAAGAAAAAGTTAAATAATGTCAATGAAAAAGTGTTATTTATTAATTTGAATAGTTTGTAATTGTTTTTTCATTTGATCAATTTGATTTCGATGATTTCGAACAAAATTTTGAATATTTTCGATATATAAATGATCAAGTTGTTCTTGATCTTGATTTGATAATATAAATTGTTGAATATGTTGAATATTTTCTTTAAGATAATTAATTTGTATTTGATATGTTTCTAATTGTTGTTGCATTCGTATTTCACTATCTGATATAACAGGTGTACTTTGTTCAATTATAGATAGAAGATCATCAACATGTGATGATAAACGTTTTCGACGAGAACATTCCTTTTTTTTTTTAATTTAAATTAAATTAAAAATAATAAAAAGAAAAACAAGATAATATATTTACTTGTTGATATTGTTCTCTTAAAATTTGAAATCGTTTTTGAATTTGTTCACATTTTTCATTCAATTGTTTATTTTCATTAAATTGTGTTTGTTGATAATCATGTAAATAATATTGTTTATTTTCAAGTTCTTTACGAACATTTTCTTGTTTTTCAATATATTGTTCAGTTAAAATTTTAATAAATTGTGAAAGATTTTTTTCGAAATCTGAATCAGAAATATTTGTTGACAATGTTGAAAGTGTTATATAAGGAATTGATTGATCACGTGAAAGTAATGAACGAATACGATCAATAAATTCCAATGATGATTTTGATTCATCTGATTCTGATAAAATTAGAGAATTTTCAATCGGTTCTAATGATTGAGAATGAATAAATATTAATTCCTAAAATAAAAACAATAATATCAATATTCTGAGACGTTTAATGTGTTTCTCTTCATTACTCTTTTGTTTTTTAAAATACAAATGATTCGAAATTATAAATCGATTCTTTGATAATTCTTCTAGAAGTTTTTTTCTACGGTTAATTCCAGTAATAGTCTATTTTATAGATAATTTTTCTTTGTCTTACAATTCTGGAGAAAAATAACGGTTGCCCATAAAGTGCTACTATTCTTTTATGATATTAAGTTGATATTTCAGGTGGATGTGTACCATAATAAACCCTGACTGAAAACATCAACCGAACCTTGATCGGTTCACATGTACTTAAATTATGATTCATACATTGTCTTTCCATGGTGAAAAACATATTCAGCGGTGATATGCACTCAAAAAGTTCTGACTTGTCATTTTGCTATTCTTCAAACTATTTTTTTTTCGCGCTAAACCCAGTCTCATATGTCTTCTTTATTATCATCAAAGTCTATGACACATACTTAACATCTTAGTAATGAGTACATTCCGAGATAGTGAACTCATGTCGTAGTACTAACTCGATTTCATTCATTTCTACAACTCGAAAAAATTTCAAATGAATTGATCATGAAAAACATTCATCTTACTAAAACTTAGCATTTGCTTTTCAACAAATATTCTTAATGAGAAAACAATATCTTACTTGTTTTTAATTGATTTCTAACATAACTCGGATTAGACATAGCTAAGATAGTGACCTTTAGAATGAACTGATCACGAAAGAAAGATGATATCTCAAGAATCCTAACTCCAGTATATATGTACCATCGGAGGGTGAGTTTACGCTTGGAATTAAGGTTTATTATCACACGCACATGCACCTAAAATATAAGCTCAATATCATAAACAATAGTAGCAGTTCCTGTCGGGCAGTTATTTTTGTTCAGCACTGCATCTTCAATGTTGAATTTTTCAGGACTTTAACTGATCAATAAAAAAAAAGTACGTTATGAGAAACTTTTCAATGATGATACCCTTATCAATAGAAAATATTTATGTGCTATGAAATAAATCTTTTTTTTTTGACAATGAGTTAATCATATGTAGGAGAAAGAAAAATACAAAAAGGAACCATCGATATGTTTAGATTTGTGTATCTCAAATCAAATTCATTGACAATTTTCTGTATAAGTAACATAACTGAATAAGGTTATTTTGATTTTTCTAAAAAACAAAACAAATTGAAAATAAACCTTTTGTTGATTTATTTGTGATTTAACAATAATTGCTAAGTATTGTTGATTATTATTTGTTTTTATTAAACCGATTTGTTGAATTTTATTGATAATTTTATAATTGGAATTTGTTCCATTAATTAAATGTTGAATATGTGTTGGTTGAAGTTGTTTTAATCCTTGTTGAATTTGATTAATCCATGATATTTCAATTGAATAAACATTTCCAGATGAATCAGAAATAAAATATCTATTCAAAGAAAATGGATCTCGAATAATTGATGTTATTATTTGTCCATTTTCATTTGTTGGTAAACAAATTAAATCAATTGTAAATAAACAATATTGATTTAATGATGGAGATAAAATAATAGATTGATTTAGTTGACATTTATCATGTGTAAATATAACAAGAGGATAATTTGAATTTGATAAACAAATAAATGTTGATTGACCATGATCACCACCATAATTATTAAATGTTGATGGAAGAATAAGAATAGGACCTTGAAATTCTTCAGATATTTTATTTTCACTAAAAATTATTCTTTTGTTTTTTTTTTTAAATAAATTCATATAAAAAAAAGAACATTACTTCGATAAAAGTTGATTTTGATCAATTTCTAATATAAAAATATCTCCATCACTTTTCATTGCAAATAAAAGAATTAATTCTAAATCTTTTTGTTTTCTTTTTGTAACATCTAATTTAATTATATCTGATGGTTGATGAAGAGAAATTTTTTTATTTGGTGTTCCAAATTTATTTATTGAAGATGATCCAACTGAAAATGTTTGAAGATATTCAATTCCAACTTGTTTTGATGATCGAACTTTATAAAGATGACATTCAGATGGTGATGGAATTGTATAAACAATAACAAAATGATTTGAATTTAACCAAACAAAATCGATTAGCGAACAAGTTATTGTCGGAGAAGATGATGTTAATGGTGGAACACGAATTATTGAACATAGATAAGATCCTAGAATTATTTAAACTAAAAACATAAACCTTTCTTGCTTTTTTTTCTTTAATTAAAACCTTTTGAAGGTGAAGTTTTATTGATTTGTATATTTGATTTTGGTAAATAAACAAGATAAACGATTTTATCTGCTAAAAGAGCCAAAATAGTTTCATCTTCATTAAGAATTAATCTTCGAATAGGCCATGTTGGAGATGATGAAAGATGAAGACGATCATTTGAAATATCATTTAAATTATTTATTTGTATTGGAGAATGAAAAACAAGACAATGATTTATAGAATCATAACCATAAAGAGATGATTTACCAAATGTGAATACATCAATATTAGGCCATGAAAGTGGAATTCGTATTGAGCTTGATAATGACATTTTTTAATTCAATCAATTTCAATTCTTAGATTAAAAGAGAACCTAAATTTTAAGAAAAAAACCGTAAAACAGACTATAACTAATATAATCTTGTTTCGACCAATAATGGAAATTGTTCAACAGATGTCGTAATATTACTTTTCTATTCCATGTTCATTAGTTTTCAATTAAATTAGTCAATTGACATTGACGGTTTGCAATGGATGATATATGGCGACATCTATATTTATTATTGAAAATATTTATTAATATCAAACATCGTCAGAATTTAGGATGGAAAAATTCAAAATTTTAATGAATTCATTTTTGTGCTGAAAATGTACGAGAAGTGAGAGATGTTTGTACTAATCTGAACGGAGAGACGCTTGAACACGTATGATAGTTCATCATCATCGTCGTCCACAACACATCACATCATCTTCACCATCGTCGTTCACAACACATCACATCATCTTCATGATCGTCGTTCACAACACATCACATCATCTTCATGATCGTCGTTCCTATCATCATCATTCGTATCATCAAATTTATTTGAATAATTGATTTTTTTTATGATGGCAGTTGATATGAAGAGTATGAATTTTTATTTCGGTGATAAAAGTTTGAAATACAAATTTCCTTCAAATTCGAACATTAGTTTAATCGATACAACACTTCGTGGATATTTTAATCTTTCGAAAGACAGCGAATATCATCTGTTTGATATGCAAGATTCTGCATTGGTAAACATATCAGCACTCTATTATCTTAATAATGAGTCAAAGATTTTGATCAAAATGAAAAACATTGAGAATTCATTAACTAGTACATATTCCAATACTGTGTGAGTATATTCTGTTTTTCGATAGGGATTGATATAATCTCTCATTGTTTTGGACAATCATTTTCAAATATTGAATCAACTACTTTATCAATCTATCAAGGTAAAAGTTCGTCCCCTTTTGTCATTGATATATATGTCTCAATCTCATTTTAGAAACGCTGTCATTTAGTGACAACACAGACAAAGCTCCAGTCGAATTATCTTCAGCTAGCTCCACCAGTGAGACTGATCATAATAGAGCCGCCATGCATTATGTTAGTTCAACTGATGAAAGTGGCGGTACCAAATTAACAAAAGCACAACAGAGGAAAAAAGATCAAGAGCTGAAAATTCTGCGTAACAAGAAGATTTATTATTTTCTTGAAAAATATGCAGGAATAAGTGCTGGTAAATCGTTCATTCTATATAACATAAAATAACTATCTTTGAAAAATTTTAGTTGCAGCTATTCAAGTTACACAAGAATTAACGAAGAAATTGAACATCCGCTCACATCAGTTATATGATTTCTTAAAGTTTGTCCGCTACAAAACAGACTTATCGTCATTAAAATCAAACGATGCAAACGTAATAGACACACTCACATGTGTTTTTAAAAACAATTATATTAACAATATTTGATGATCATTTTATTTTCTATTAACAAAACATTCTTTCATTTGTGCTCTCCTTTGCACTGGTACCTTTTTTTCTATATTAAAATAAACTATATTTATATTGAAATAAACAATGATAAAAGTTATTTATTGGAAATATCCTGATAAACAACATTGAAAACCTTATTAACGATCTTGCTTAATATTTGAGTATCTATAGAAAAATCATTATTTTATACGAAATTATCTTTATATTTAGTTTATTAATTCAATTCAAAATCATATTAAGTTAAACAAATATAGATATTTATAAAAGAATTATTATTTGAAATGAAATTATTCTTCTATTTAATTTATTTATCTAATTAAAAAAATATTTAGTTAGATAATTATTTATTTCATAGATGAATAATTAGTTCAATAATAGAATTAAATTCAAAAATGTTCTTATCTTTATTTTTTCAACGATGTCAAATGATATGTTGATGAAATTAAATTATTTATTCCCAAAAGTTCTCTTGGAAATAATAGCTTGATTTATTTTCTTAATAATCCTTCGAATATTTTTTTTGCATGTTGATTCGATTTTTTAAAGTCAGAATATAATGTAGAAATTCTCCTTTATCATAATATGTAACTCAGAATTAATTATCACGAAAATAAAATTAAAATCTTTTTCTCTTAAATATTAAACAGAAGTATATATACCACAAATGAGGTGCGAGACCGTTCCTGCTACTTTTAGAATCTTACTGTGGAGTATCTCTTTGGCTTATGAAAGTTTTTTAAGATGTCCATGAAAGAAAGACTCTAATCCATCACGTCCCCTTCCCTTGCTTTGAATGCCTCGATACGCGTGCCCATGTAAAAGTTGATATCCAAAAAAGTCACTTTTAAGTACTTTCAGTATTATTTCTGAAAGTAGGCAAAGTCACTAATACGTGAACCTTTTTAAGTAACTATTAGTATACTTATAAGTAGAAAGTACTTTTAATTACTTTAAAAAGTAATTAAAAGTACTTTTGCTCCAACATTTTCAAAGTTGTTGAGTTGTTTTATTAATAAAAAGTATAGCCGTATTAAGTAATTTTTAGTACTTTTCCAAATAATAAAAATTACTTTTTCCTAATGATTATACGAATAGTTACTTAAAAAGGTTCACTTATTAGTGACTTTGTATACTTTCTGGTATAGCACAGAAAGTACTTCATAGTAATTGCTTTGAAGCTCGAGTTTTACATGGGTACTTAAACTTCCATAGTAGTTTTTGAATACTTACATCTTCATAGTACTTTTTATTACTTACGATTCCATAGTACTTTTTATTACTTACAGCTACATAATACTTTTTATTACTTGGCATAGTATTTTTTAGTATGAAGCCTACTTATTTCACTTCCAGAGGTGAGATTCGAACTTTTTCAAGGAAAATCCTTAATTTTTTCAGCTTCTCCAAATTTGAAAACAGGTACACAAACAACTTAGCCAAATTTGTATACAATAGTATGCGCTTGGAACTGCCTTATAAACTGAACCGACAAAAATTGCGCAATTACAACTTATAAGTACTTTTTCGAAAAGTACTTTTAAGTACTTTACAGCCAAAAGTACTTAAAAGTACTTTTATGCATCATAGTTTACTGACTTCTCCTGAGAAGTATTTATTAGTACTTTTTATGTTACTTCGTTTGAATTACTTTTCTGAGTCACATTTAATATCACTTTTCGTTTTTGGAGGTTACAGTGACTTAAATAATAGGTTTGTCATTGAAGTTTTGCATCGAACTGAAGTAAAGTCACATCTCACGACGCGAATCAAATTACTTAAAGAATGCGCAATTCAGATGTTTTTTCTAGTCATGCAATAAAATAGGTCCTTAAAAAAACTGGAAATTACTGGACAGCCCTTATACTATAGCAACAGTAATAGTACTGTTAGGAAATAAGTCAAATATATTTTCTAAAATCATTACGAAGTCCTAGTAAGCACTTTTTATATGAGATAATTCTTCCATTTGGAAAAGCATACTTAAATAAACCAGCAGTTAGCAGGTATTGTGAAAAAATTAACAGTTTTTCACATTGATCATAGTAACACTGATTTCATTCAAAAATTTGCGACTTATTTTTTAGCGTTATTTTCATGTATATTGATGATGAACTGGCAACACTATTGACAAAAAATTTTCATTCGTTGCTTCTCGATATATTGAATGATATTATTCTGCAGCTTTCAGTGGTGAAGTTAACAACATAATTATTAGGATCTCAATCTTTGTTCAATATAGAAAACAAAAAACAACAATGAATTTTGTTATTGTTTATTTTAACTGATAGATTAAGTCAAAATAATATAAAGTTTTAGCTTGAATGCCGAAATATTTTTAAACTTGCGCTGTGATTAATTGCTTTCAGCATAAATGGCCAAATGCCAGTACCAAAATCAACTCAAATAAGGTGTTTTGTTGGATAAATGTGAACGAATTCGACTTTTGGGCTAATTTAAAAACTTTTTGAATAAGTGGGTTTTGTAGAGGAAATAGTAGCGCAGTTTTTGAGAAAATTTCACGGATGTTGAATTTTTTGTTGGGAAGGAAAAACGATCACACTATCAAGGTCTAGTTGCAGCAATGTCACCTTTACGAAATTCTGACCCATATTTTTCTCAGTAGAGCAAAAAGCTTTCTCAAGTGTCTATAGGTATTTTGTAGAGCGAAGAAAGGCGCATCTAATCACAGTATAAAATATTGACCAGGAGAAAAGTTCGCTCGATCTAATCCTTTTATATACATGTACTCTTGTTACCTAAGTCAATGGACCCTCACGACTTTTTGTCATTAGCAAAAATCAAATGCATCACACCAAAATGTGTAGAATAACATGCTCTTTCGTGCTGGATATATTTGGAAAAGGTTTTAGAGGATGGCAAATTTACAGTCTTATCGTGCATGGTTCTTTGCAAATATTTCAGTGCGCACATCAACATCTAAATGACTCTACACTTGATATTTCATTTAAACAACATTTACTGTCTATTATTAATGAGAAAGAAGACGCCGACAAAAGGCGTGTCTGTACTTCTCGAAAAACGCTCAAAGTCGATTCATTAGCCACGATATTTTTCCCACAACCGCAGCTTACTTTTTTTAATCGGTTAAAGATCAGCCATATGACTTTATGCACTTATTCAAGTGTACTCTTCAAATATGCAGATGATGGTACTATAGTTTTTCGCATTCAAGACAACTTATTTATGGGAGGCATTCGATCTCTATTTACTCTAGACGAGAATAACAATGTCTTCTTGTTGGTTGATTATTCAACAGCCACTGATTATTTTAGTTACTGTGTCGATAATAATGACAAGTTCAAATACTCATGGATTCAAAGCTCTCTAAAGAAGAACTTCCCTAATCTTCTTATAAAAACCATTGATATTGTTGAAAAGTGTGTCTATTTGGAGCACTCACACAGAAAGTGCCACTTCATGCGCTTTCGTAACTTGGTTCATAGCTCGTAAAATTGATTTATATTTTATTTATGCTTATTATTATCTTATGAACATTTTTAACCAAAGAAAAGCCTATTCGACCTTAATCTAAAAAATACTGCTAGTAAGTGAGATAAAATGAGTTTCACGCATCGTAATGTTTGAAACACGAAGAAAGATTAAAATCATCATTCGCCTATGATTTCGACCAAACCTAAGTTTGTTGTATCATATTAAATAACAACAGATCTTGATATTCATCCTACGTAAAAAAAATCATAGAAAAATACTATTAAGTATTTTTAGTATTAATAGAGCACAATAAATTCAACTTTTTTCTAATAATTTTTAGTATTTTTTTCGGACTTTCAGTAGTTCTTAATAGTACTTTTAATCGAAAAGTATGAAAGGCACTTAAAAATTTTCATTTTATAAGTATTTTTTCTTGTTTAATAAAAACTATTTCAAGTAGTTAATACTGTTTTTTTTTCATACTTCTTTTTACATAGAACGTGAGATATTATTTACTACTAATGCGCTCTTAATCAACGACCTAACAGGTAAAGAACTCAAACAGTAAAATGATTCCATTAAATTAATATTTAATACTTAATATTCTTCATGTTTTCTAGTTTTTATGGGATTTATAGGTGTTGAAAGTATAGACCAAGTCTCTAAATGTAGAAAGTTCTATTTATTTTTTAGTTGTTTACCAAAAATGTCATGAAGACCTTTCATAATTGTAAAAAAATCCTCAAATAAATTCAAGTACCATACATAATAATCCTATTATTAAAGAGACCAGCAGTATTCTTTATTACTTCTTGAAAATCAGAATTATACTATAATGCTATAGAAAAAATGAGAACCCAAGGGAAAAAAGTGCATTTTTCATGATGAAACGAATACATACATTATTATACTCGTTTTATCATGAAAAATGCAATTTTTTAAACTTTTTTTCACACGAAAATCACCATTTTTTTTTGTTTTTTTATTCAATGGAAATCAATATAATTTACTTCTTAAGTTCGGAAAAGTACTAACAGATACTTTTGAACATATCAAATAACTTTTTATTTTTATTTTTTTTGAAAGTAAGAAACACTTGCCCAGGTCCAATAAAACGGCGTCGTAAACGGCCTGAAACGGCTATAAAACGGCGATTAACGATGTAAAACGTCGATAAACGGCACCGTAATCCGTCATACCAGATTACGGAAGCAAAGCCGGAAAAAAACGACCGCCGTTTTCTAGCGATAGACGGTGGTCGTAATACGGTATGACGGATTACGGCGAAATAAGGCCAAAATTACTGCAGTAATTCGCCGTTTTATAGTCGTTTCAGGCCGGATACGACGCCGTTTCCGACGGCCGGAATGATTCACCTGGGTGAGAAAATATTAGAGTTGATTAAATATGCTTGGTAATTCATAAAAGTACTTTTAATTATTTTTTAATACATTCAAACTTCTTTCTGGCAGTTTTTGGAAAGAAATACAAATGAATGGTAAAATGCTTAAAAAAGTATAAAAATGAGTTTATTACACTTGATTATTGATGAAGATACAGTTGAATATTTTTTAGTGTATTGACATATTTCTGATTATTATTTAAAAACTTAAAAACACTACCGATTAATTCTAACGGTCTAGAATCAATGCATTATACTTTGTAATTATACACGATACTAAAATACTTCTACAAATAACAAAAATACTTTTCATTACGTTGTAAGCATTTCATACTACAAGGAAATAATTGAGAAAATACCGATATAGATATATTATACTTTCATAGATAACAGATACTAAAAATTACTTTACAAAGTATCAAAAGTAATTCTGAATACTTCTTGGGAAACCACAAGTACTAAAAAGTACTTTGTAAAAGTGTATAACTTAACATGACGAAGTTGGTGACCGAACGATATGTACTAGAATCTTTAATCTAAAAACTTAGTTAATCAAGATTTCTGAAAATAAGTTTTATTTTTTTTTCATTTATCTATGACTATACGGTTCTAATTTGTTTTGAACTACCAAACTAATTAAAAATTTACATCAAAATTGAACATGGATGTTTGTCCAATTGATAAATGATGCTGGATGATATAAAGCCGTTAATTGAAATAATGGCTATGCACAAATCAATTCACATCTTTTTCTTTACTTATAGATCTTCCTTTTGGAAGAAATACTTTTCATCACATGTAGTCAATAGTTAAAGATAAGCTGTTTTAAGTTTACGTTACAAGCTGATAGATTTGTTTGGATGAGCTAATAAAACAAATAATTTTATCCTAAATGGCAGGGCTCGATATGAGCTAATTTTTTGTAGCCCGACTTGGTCCAAACTGCTCCAGGTATTCTGTAGATTCGCCTGGTTCGATTCACGTTTAGCTTAGACCAATCCAATAGGTTTGAAGGATATTTCATTTACCAAGATTTTTCTTTCCTAAGATAATTTAGATATCACTTCACTGTTTTACTGCATGTCAAAGATTTTCTGTACATATAACTCTGGATATATAAGCAAATGTTTTTAAACTAGATTTTGTTTGTCTTTTTTTTTTCTTTACGTTAAATTTTATCATTGTTCAAGCACACGATCGGTGAATAATTTTTATCATTTCTTAGCAGTTTACTCTAATATATTATTATCTGTTTAAAACTATTTTTTGAATTTGACGATACTGGATTTTATCTACGAAGAATTTCAGACACAGTTACAGAATTGTGACTTTATGATAATTTAACTCTTAATTATCTCAAATGTGTGATAGTATAATGAGTGAAAATTCGCATGAAATGATTATATTTAGAATTTAGAACGGTGTAAAAAGTATCCATTAAATATGGAATATTTGTTATCATATTGCACCTACATTTTTACACAGATGACAACCACTAATTTAATATGGGGATATTTGACTATGGTTAATTAATTCTTTGTTAGTATAAAATGGTGAAATTAGTGAGACTTGTTGTGAAAGAATTCATTAGTTCCATTGCGGCATATTTATAATGAGTAACATATTTCAATTCCAACATAAGATGCACATTAATTTCTACTTTTGTCAAAAGTAGAAGCAAAAAACTTTCTTTGCAGCACAAATGCGAGAAATATATCATTTTTAGACGATTTCCGTTTCTAGTAGTATATTAATATGCTCTATTGAAATAAATAAAATAACGAGTCAAACAAAACTTGATTTATATAAATATTTTCTCAATTCTAATAATAAATATTGTCTTTCTAAAAATCAGTTCTCTTGAATATTTATAACAAATATAAAAAAGATTTTTCCTAACTCTTATATTATATTTACATAGTTTAAATAGAAGGGAAGGGCACCTATTGAAATTAAATGAAAACTGGTTTTTTTTTTATAAAATATTACGAAATATTGAATTACATATTGATCTCATCGAAATAATAATTTGTACATATTTGTACAATTTCAATGAACAAGAATAATGTTCATTTTAAATTGACTAATCATTTGAATATAAAATCGATAATCCCTAGAAATAGAAATCCATCAGAAAGATTTATTCCAAAAGAATAAACTATAGATTCGAACAACATGTCACACGATTATTTAAATGAAGAGGAATAGATAAAAGATCATTTCATTTGTATTATTTAAACGAAGAGGAATAAACAAAAGTTGGTTCATAAAGAACTATGGTTCATTTTTAGATTTGGTACAACAACAGACAGATATCTATTGTTATATTTGTTTGTATATCCTATTTCGATGAATAACGTTGTTTTTCTAATATAACATCTTCAATAAATAAATTCATTAGCAATAGATACATCAAATAAAGATGAACAAACTTGTCAACTTCTCGAACAATTTGATCATATTCTTAAACGATCTGAAACATATATTGATTTAAATAAATAATGTCAAGAAGTAAAATTATTATTTCTATATATTTCTTTTAGAATTATTACTTATAGGATATATGGATTTCTGATGAAAAAACTGCAGACGCTTCGAAAATTATCAAAAAAAAGCAACGTTTGTTTCTAATCTTTATTAAATTTTCGACGAAATTCTTGGTAAAAAAAAAAAAAATAAAATAATTTTCACAATTAAAATCTATTGCATGTACACTCTTTATATTCCATTTTGTCAATGCTGCTGATAATAGATAACATAATTCAACAATGACATCCATTCAAGTTGATATCAATCAGTAGGTTTTTCTTCAAACATAAAAATAAATAGAAAGTCTCTGTTAAACAGAATATTGTTTAGAGAAAAATGTGAAATAAAAATTTCTAATGATAGTCATCATATTCCTCTTCGTAAATGGATTCAAGATGAATCAATCTATATTTTAACATTCATTTTTGACAAACTTATCACATCAGATAATTTGAATAATGAACAAAAAATGAATTACTACTGTAGTATGATTTCAACTCATCGAAAAACATATTTTTTTAATTTTATCTATTATAATAGATAGTTGAAATGATTATGATGCAAAGTAACAAATATTTTTAGTAGAAAATTTATCGTTAAAATATTGTCAAAAGAATATAAAAAATCATTTAAACGAGCAGATTTTCTATTTCTATTTATTGCTTATAAAAAGAATAGAAATTTATTTAGATTTGGATAAACAATAAAATTCTTCGTTTAAATTATGGTGAAAACAATGCTAATAGAAATGATTTATCAAAATCACATTATGGAAAATTAATGATTATGGCTGATCAAGATCAAGATGGTAGTCATATTAAAGATCTTGTTCTTAATCTTATTCAATATAAAAGGTCAAATCTACTTAAACACGATTATATTCAAGTATTTATTACACCGATTCTTAAAGTCAGAAATTAATCAACTATTTTAATTAAGAAAATAATAAATTGGTTAAATGTAAGTCAATAATTATGTTTGTTTTTGTTTTAAATTGTAGATGATTCTATTTTACGCGATTTGCTTAGTAAACAAATAACACATCTTAATATTGATATAAAGAATGGAAATCGAGTATCGTTTGAAATTACATCAAAGATTTTTGTGTTAATTTTATCTTTATGTAAAAACTTAATTGATTTAAATTTTTGTGATTTATTTTTTGAACGAAAACATTGGAATCATATTTCTGATTTAACAGAAACAAGTTTAACGTCTTCAACTTTAAATAAATTAAAAATAAATCTTGAAACTTTTACTGAATCTTTGTTTCTTCTTAATGGAAATCTTGAATGTTTAACAACACTAAATCTTCATGTGTAATTAATTTATCCTCTGATACGACGCATAGATAATACAATATGTATTCGATTTCGATCATCCTTTCTATAAATTAATCCGATAGATATTTTCAATGTTAATATTATTTCTAGAAAAAACTTCCCAATTTAAAATATTTCTCATTCATTTCACCTGAATACACAAGTCAACATGATATTCTAATTTTTCCATTTATTTGTCGCATGATAAATCTTGAAGAATTAAAATTATATTTATTAATAAAAGTATTTGATTTAAATTATATTGATGGTATTCAATTATATGATCAACTTCTTTGTCATATGAAAAAATAAAATAAGTTTACGTTTAATATTCAAACACTTGTCTATAGATGTAAGACTAAAATAAATCTTTCATCAAATGAAGATATTCAACGTAGTTTTATTGGAAGAGAAATATATCAAAAAATTGCTTCATATATCAATAATAATTCAAGTACGATCGAATCAAAATGTCATATTTATTCACTTCCATATCAATTCGAATATTTACTTGAAATCAATAATTCTTTTCCAGGATGCAT